ACAAACGTCTTCTCAGGGCGAAGCTCCAAAACACTCAGTTACCTGAAACAATAACCTCACAAACCCTCGGGGTCAACAAGGCCAAACACAAGCTGCACTTCTAACTTTAGAATGAAAGAGCTGGACCTCTGGAGTCCGACAGGGAGACTTGTGAAGAAAACTTCATCAGATCTTTGAATCTTAGAGTTGATGCAGCTCTCTTTAGGTACCCCTGGTCCTCCATGTGCTGAAGCTTGGTTTGAACTTCAGCAAGCTGTCTTCTTAACGTCTAAATACCAAAATGCATTGGAGTGCTGTCGTGCGATTGGCTGATGAGCCATTTGTGTTGACAACGGGTGGATGCATGAAGTGGCTGGTGAGAACTGATGCAGTAGAACGCGAGAACCTCGAAATCCCCTGAGTACCAGAGAGGAAACCTGATTCTAAAACCAACTTTCCTCTGAAGATAAAAAGATGAGGTGGAAGCAGAGCAGAGCCCAGTTGTTAACACGACAGCTCCTCTCTGTGATCCGACTCTGAACAAAGAAGTGAAGAGAGAGTTGGCAACACGAAGAACAAAAAGTCTTGTGAGAACTTCTCAGTTTCTGTCTTCAGAACAACAAACATTGTGACAGGAAGGTCCGACCTCACCGCGGCGCAGCGCTTTGTTGGGGGACTGACCTGGTTCCACTTCCAGGTCCCTCCCACCTCCGGTCACCTCATGGTCACCTGATGTTAATCCACTGTCCACGTCTTCTGATCCAGTCAGTCCTGCGCCTCACACTTTCTGACACACAAACAAGAAACAAGGCCTAAATGCAATTAGATTTGTCGACCTCTTCAATAAATATTCAACCTAATTGGATGGACCTCATGCTGTGGTGCGCTGCGATGTTCATGATCATGACGTGACTCTGCAGCCATTGACACAATGTCCTCTGATGCTGGGGAGGAAATACTTGAAATCTAAAGGAAAATTTGAAGGAAATGCTCAAGTTTTTTTTTTTTTTGTTATAATATAAAGACAAAGTTCTGACATCATAACAAGGTTGTTGTCTGTTCCGGTGTGTTTTGTAACTCAGTCCTGTCGTTCAACATCCTTTTATTGAATTTTAAGAAAAAATAGACACAATGACATAACGTGGCAGTTGAAGCCAGAATGGAATGAGTGCCCCCTTGTGGCTGACTGCAGCAGAGGTTCAAGTTAAATTAAGTAAATAATTTTAATAAATAAAAGAAAAAAAAACTTGAAAGATATTGTCTTCTTGGAGTTGAGCTCTGTTGATTTATTAATGTCTTATAATGGTGCTGTAAGTTTAAATATGCAATTTTCTAAATCGTTTTGTTAAAATTAGATCGCTGATCCTTAAAAGCACTGATTGTGTGCAGGGAAAAGTAGGTTTTACATCGCCTCATCCCAACTGAACAGAATATGTCTCAAAAAAAGTACAATATATTAGCTCACATAAATCAAATCCCATTGTTTTTAATTTTGAACTTTTTATGTTGATAGTCTGGACTGACCCAATGAAGCCACAAAGTCAGAAATGTTCAGTTCAGTTTAGGAACGGTGTGTATAACTTTTGGTTTGGATAACTTTAATAAAATATTTATTCTTATTTAAAATACAAACCTTTCCACAGAAATACAACAAGGTATTTTCAGCTCCCTTAGAATCACTGTTTTGAAATCTGCACCAGTCTTCTTATTCCACTTTTAGCTTTTATTAACTATAGTTTTGCCACATGTAACTACCGTTCTGAACTTTTCGATAACATTTAGCTACTTTGAGCTCCCAACTTTTAAAGTTACCATTTTCTCATTTTGACATTTAGCTGCTATTTTTCTATTTTAAACCTTTTAGCACTTTTAGCTTTTGTCTACCATTCTGCTACGTTTTGCAACCACTTTGCTACTTTAGCTTGTAGCAACAATTTTTTAACTGTTGGCTTTTAGCTAAAATTTGTTTACTTTTTACTTTTAGCTGTTGCTTTTGCTATATTTAGGTTATAGCTACCATTATACAGATTTTTACAACATTTTGTCCACTGCTGCTTTTAGCTTGTGATGTTTAGCTTGTTACAGTTAGCTTCTAGCTACCAACTTTTTGTACTTTAATATCTATAATTAATATAGTTTTGCTACAACTTGGCTACTATTGTTCTTGAGCTACCATTTAGCTTCTTTCTTTTCCTTTTCCTTTTTTAAAGTTTTGATAATTTCAGCCACAGTTTTATGAATACTTGCATCTGTTTAGTTTGTTCAGTTTTTTTTTGTTTTTTTTTGGCTGCTTTTAGCTTCTGTTTTCTTGTTTTTAGCTTCTGCTCTGCTGTTGATAATTACTGATGCATGATCAATAATCAAGGTAGAAAAATCTAACAAAGTCAAGTCAGGTCCTCTGGACGGATTAAAAATGAAAATAAAGATTAAATTAAAAACTTGTTGAAATGTTTCATTTTTTTTAATCCAAACGACTTCTTCAGTCTGAGGAGGTGCAGCAAACTCAGTCTTATGAATAACACCTGCTCATAGATCATCCAGTTTGCTGCTGACATCCAGAACTAACTGTTCACATGTAAAACGAGGACCATCAGCCCAGTCATTAGTGGCCCAGCAGCAAACTGGTTGATCCACAATGAGAAGATTATAAGACTGAGTTTGTTGCAGCTCCTCAGAATGAAGAAGTCTTTTGGATAAAAGACGAAAAGTTTCAACGAGGTTTTAATTTTTAAAAGTTTACTTTTATTTAAATTTAATTTTTAATCCATCAAGAGGACCTGACTTAACTTTGTTAGGTTGAATAGTACCGTTTTGGTGCTTTTGAATTTTAACGTGTTTCTGCAAGTCTTCGCCTCTGTTTAATTTACAAAACTTTTTTATTTCTTCCGTGAAGTCACTGAGACGTCACCATTCCTTCTGCTTTTTGCAGAAAGCAGGTTTCTTCTCATCGTTTGTTTATTTATTTAGATTTAAACGTTTATTTTGTGAAACTCCACAAACTATTCTGACCAGCAGCTGAAGCCGCGAGCAGCACCGAGCTAAAGTTGACCTGATTTGTTTTGAACCCAAACAGCAGAAGTTTACGTGAACACACAGTTTAAATCTTCTGCTCTGTAGAACCAGTTTCCAGAGTTTGTTCGTGAGGAGGTTTATTGATAATCAGCTGATATTCAGATCAGTGAGCTGATCGTTTTCTCCTCCTTTACTCTCCTGGGAGTCATTCCAGCTGTTCTGTCGTTACGCTCGCGCTCACAAAGCAAAGCTGAGATCCAGCTTCAGGTGAGCAGCCGGACCAGGTGGATTATGTGGGTTGGAAACTCCCCCTCTGCCTCCCTCCCTCCCTCCCTCCAGGCGGTGTCCAGGACTTCACTGGAGGTGGGTGAGTCTGCTGAAGCGCTCGCTCAGCATTACTGTAAGAGGCTTTGTGAGACAAACATAGTCGCAGGAATGCTGACTCTTCTTCTCACTGTGTCTCTTCATCTCCATCAGATGCCTCCATTCATTTGCAATGAAAGAACTAAAGGTAGGGAAATGATTAGAAGATGTTTAGAAGTTCATGAAAGAAGTGAAAAGTGTTGTGCTTGAGTTGTGATTGTATTTTATTTATATATGTCATCCTGTTCTTTAAAGTTGTGGAGAAACCGTGACAGATTTTACACATAAGAGATGAAGACTTCTAACATCTTTACCTGAAAACTTAAAGCGTTGGCTTATCCAGATGAAACCTTACACTATGTTTGTAATATGGTTATCATATAAGAACTTATACATTATCATTTCTTGTATTATAACAGCCAACATTGATTTAAAAAGCATAAAAATGGTTATTGGTTATAAGTTATATTTCTCAGTCAGCTGTTAAGTTTTCAGTACGAATCATTCTTTTAACCAGGAAATGATTTTTAACTTAAATATTGTTTAGAGACGACAGTTTTTCTTTGTTTCCTCGTCAGATTATTGATCCAGTTTCTGCTACTGTAAATAAAGTAAATCAAGTTGTTTTTAACCCTGACAGCAACAAACCGCAGCAATTAAACACGACCCAGACGACTAAGATTAAAAAGAGTAAATATAATTCAGGTTTATTTGAACTTGAGTCAGGTTATATTTGTCGTCTCCATCAGTTTTGTTTGAGTTCGCATGTTCTCTCCGTGCACGTGTGGGTTTTCTCCGGTTTCCTCCCACACACCAAAAACATGCATGTTAGGCCGATTGGTAACTCTAAATTGTTTGTCTCGTTTGTCTCCATGTGTCCCTGTGATGGACTGGAGACCTGTACAGGTAGAAATGCTGACAGTTTGGGTTTTCCTCATAATTTATACACTTTTTGAACGAAAACGGTCAAAAACAAGGATTGTCTTTCACTGCCAGATAAAGTAAAGTCTGATTTCTGGTCGGTCTTTGCAAACTGCTGCTGCAAGTTCATTTCACAGTGTCAGAGAATGTTTTTGCGACACGTTAGTTCCACATTATTTATCATAAACCCGTGTACCTGAAATATACAGCTCTAATCGTCACATTTTTCAGATTGAAATTTGTTTCTTTGAAAGGAAAGTTTTTAGTTTATGATACTAAAATCATCTTTTTGCAAAGCCAAACAGAAATCACTTTGTTTGACTGCGCGCTTTTCATATTCTGTTTGTGATTCTGTATGAAACGTCGGCACGACTCCTGAGGAATGGGTTTAGGTTAACAGGTGAAGAAATTATCAGATTTATGCACCTGAAGTTATAAAACAACCAAAGATTAGTGGACATCAATTTACCATCCTCACGTGGTATTTGAGTAATTCAGTAATCTGATCAGGTTCACGTCATTTATCCACTCTTGTGAGGACATTTTGACCATCCCCTGCCTTGTTTTTGTCTTGATCCAGGATGCCATTACTCAGCAGAGGCTCTCCCCGTCCTCCACTGGCTCGTAAAGTAAAACAGGTTCTGAAGACGAGCGTATTCTCTTGAACACGATCCCTTTAGGTCAGCGATCCTCTCAGGACCCTCAAAGTACCCCTCGGAAGGGGGATGCCAGTGTTGCTGAACACCAATGCCTCTTTCAGCTCCAGACAGGAGCTCCTGGACTTGCAGGACTGTCCTCACAATGGGGGTCCCGCTGTGGACACCTCTAGTCCCGAGGATTCCCTAGCAGGAAGCCCCATTGGTTCTGGTCCTAGAAGCCCTGGCAGGCCAGGAGCTAATGGACCCATCAGGTCCCACATTTTTACAGGAGCTTCAATGCTCCCCGGGCAGTTGTATGGAGGGGACACACAGCCTGTCAGACAGCTTCCTTTGGGGGTACCGCTGATCTCAAGTGACCCAGACCAGCTATGTGGCTGGAGGGCTCTGACGCCCAGGTTCATCCAGGTTTTCAACACGCCACGCTGGGTGCTGTTCTTCCTCTGCGTGGCCTCTTTCCTCCAGGGGATGATCGTCAACGGCTTCATAAACACCGTGGTGACCTCCATCGAGCGGCGCTTTGACCTGCGCAGCTACCAGGCCGGCCTCATCGCCAGCTCCTACGACATCGCCACCTGCTTCTGCCTGGCCTTCGTCAGCTACTTTGGTGGCACGAGGCACAAGCCCCGCTGGCTGGGATGGGGGGTTCTCATCATGGCACTGGGCTCTCTGGTGTTCGCCTTGCCTCATTTCACCACGCCCCCCTACCTGGTCAATAAGCCTGAGCAGACGGGAATGTGCTCTGCGAACTCTACCAGCCAGTGCCAAGACACGGAGGCCGGAGGACTGTCGGGTTATCGCTTCGTGTTCATGCTGGGACAGTTTCTACATGGCATGGGCGCCACTCCTCTCTACACGCTGGGGGTCACGTACCTGGATGAGAACGTCAGCTCCAACTATGGACCTGTTTACATAGGTGAGTCCTCTGTTCCCGTTTTATTGTAAAATATTGACAACTCCATAGACGGACACTGGACTAACAACATAAAGTTTTGTTGTGACTGTTTAGTCTTGACTTGTATCGTGAGGTTACATCCCCACAAAAATAAACTAAAATTAGGATGTTGTGTAAAAATGTAAATACAAACAGAATGCAATGATTTTCAAATCTCATAAATTCATATTTATCTTATAAGGCACTTATTTACAACGAAACACAAACTGAATGTTGAAGCAAATAAATTCAGTCACTCCATCCATCCATTATCTTCCGCTTATTCTGAAGTTGGGTCGTGGGGGCAGTAGCTTGAGCAGGGAGGTCCAGACATCTCTTTCCACAGCCGCCTCTTCCAGCTTCAAAGTTCATGCTCAATAATCCAGGTAAAAAAAAAAAATTGGATTTTTTTTTACCTGTCCTACACATCCCACCCCCATCAACAACTGCCAGCACTAACGCGGCACTAAGCTAGCATGCAAGACAGAGGTGTCTCCTAGAGCTGCCATTTCTAGCCCGGACCCACCCAACCCAGATTCGGACCAGACTGGTCCATAACAATTTGCTTAATGTGCGGGCCGGGTCGGTGTCGGGCTTTTGATTGCATCAGCGGATGCGCGTGGCTGACGATCCAATATATGGTAACATTGGTTGCCATACAATCACCAGAAGCACACCGCCATTTGACCGCGTGCTGACTGGCCTTGAAAGAGGTAAAAAGTTCAGTTAAGCTTCAGATGGACTACTGCCAGCGGTCCATCACCCAATTGGACGTGCATTCAGCTGCTGCACTCAGCGGGCGCACACGGCCGACGACCCAAACAGGCGAGATCACAAAATATCTGACATGTCAGAGCAGGGTCCATGTCTGAATAATGCAGAATGCAGGCAGAAGCAGGGATTTAATGCGCTTTGACATCCACGAAAGGACAAACACCCCCTCAGCTTCGATCTTCGGCCCCCTTTATTCAGCCGTGTGCATCTGCCGACCAGCAGTCAAAACTTAATTAAAAATGTCGGGGGGTGGGGGCGGGTTCTGACCTTTAATTACTGTTAATTTGTCGGATCAGGTGGGGTTCAGAAACCTTGGCTACGGGCTGGGGCGGGTCAGATTTTTTGGACCCGAATGCAACTTCAGTGTCTCCCCCTCTTCCCCCCGTGAGCTCCATTCCAAGGCAGATGACCTCGGGGAAACACTGCATGCGGTGTGGAGTTGTTGTTGGTAACCAGGAAAACCTGGAGTGGACTTTTAGTGGTTTGATTATTCTCCTTTTAATCAAGTGGAATGGATTAATTCACGAAGAAATAGAAACAGCGCTGGGTGAACTGATTTAATGGTAAATGTGGGCGTGTGTGTGGGGGGTCTGAATGAATTCTTTTTTTTTAAGTGGAGGGGACACGTCCTCTTCACATTTAATTGTTGCGATGCAACAATTGGCACAGACAAATCGGTGAAACAGGTATTGTCATTATTTTCCTTGTCAGCCCACTGACGTTGACCCTCTGAGACTTGTTGTAATCCAAGCTCACAGCCAACACAAAGCGGAGAGCCCGATTTCAGACCCGTTTATTTTTTCACGAAATACAAAACTTCTACACAGTTCAGAACAATGTGGTCCTTGTAGCCTGGAGAACAAGAGGTAGGTAGGAAGCAGGAAGTAGTTGTGCTGACACACCCTGGTTCTGTTTGTCTCACCCCTCAGGGATCTTTTATACAGCAGCTGTAGTGGGTCCTGCAGCCGGCTACCTGCTGGGAGGTTACTTCCTCAACATTTACACCGAGGTCCAGCTGACGTGAGTCCACCTTGACCCACACAACCAACTCCAAAACAGCAGAAATAACACAATAAATTAAAAATCACGTCATTTTCTAATAAAATACATGTGTCTTTATTAGCGCATGCTTGTTTTCGACAAAACACAAGAATTGCACACAAATATAAAAAAAAAAAAGACTCAAGCAAAACCAACAGGATTCAGTGTCTATTGTGCAGTAAACTGGAAAAAATAAAGAACTGGCCAAAAACTAATAAAGAAACATGATCCTGGAATAAATTTAAATTATAGATGAAATAAACCAAACTATTATGAGCTGGATATTATTGAACTCTGAGGATTTAATACTTCACCTGATACCTTTGTCCGTACAGCGCCATGAGAGGACTTTAGGTCTAAGTGTGACTTGTGCAAATGAACTAAATTTACGTGGAAGAAATAAAATAAAGAAGAAGAGTCTCCCTGTTAGAAGGAGTCATTCCTTTCCACTGTTGCCTCTGCTGCTCAGGATTGTAACTTTATCAAAGTTTTATTTTGACATTATCTGCTGGTTTCCTTAGACAGAGGAGTATTTATTACCTAAACTAAAAAGTATCTGCAGAAATTTGATGGGGACTACCGTGTTGAAGATATTTTAATTGTTTGCTTCGACAATACTGTGTGTATGGGGTTCACTCTCAGCTACCATCAAACCAAATTTCAGCTCAATAAAGGCAAAAAATAAATAAATAAATCTATGAATCATAGACCATTTATCTTTTAAGGTTTGGTGGCCATCTTGCATTTTTAGATTTGAATTCAGAATGCGCTGTGCATTGTTCTCAGCTACCACCACGCAAATTTCAGCTCAGCATCTTTTAAAATAGCTGAGTTATATATATTTTTTCCCATTTGTCTAAGGCGGCCATCTTGGATTCTTGATTTGCATTAGAAATGTGTAACAACTCGCTCTCAGCTACAAACACACCAAAATGTCATCTCAATGTCTCAAAGAATGACTCAGTTAATCTTCAATTGTGAGTGTTCCGAGGTAGCTGTGGCAGCCATCTTGAATCAAAATGGCTCCAAAGGTTAAGCAGTTCCAGAGATACATCTGTTGATCGCTTTCTATGAGTTTCAAACAAATCCAACAATCTGTTCATGAGCTGAGGCAGTTAGAAGCTTTTTCAATGGGAAACATGGCGTCTTTGTTTACGAATTGCGTTGCCATGGTAACTAGAAATGCCAGTAAAAGTAATCGCACACATCACGGTGCAGAGCCGGTCGTTTTGAGAAAACATTTGTGGGGGTGCACATTGCGGTTCGGGACACATATAGGCAGTCCATTAGTATTTTGTGATTTGAAGATTTAATTGATTGCTTATAATTAAAGTTATTTTAAACCGACGCTAACTTTTACTTCATGTGCAGCTGCATTATGGGAAACGAGACACTGAATGAAAACAACATTAAACCAAAGTTGAATAGTTAATAATGTCCAGCTGGTTCAGATCGGTGTTTCTGCTGAGTCGCAGGACGGACATGTCTCCGGAGAGCCCCCACTGGGTCGGGGCTTGGTGGGTCGGTTTCCTCGCAGGAGGAGCAGCCGTCGCTCTGGTTGCTCTCCCCATCCTGGGTTACCCCCGACAGCTGCCAGGTACGGCCCGTCTTCGCCCCCCCATCACAAGCACCTTCTCTAAATGAAAATATACATTACAAATAAGAAAGTGCTTTCCTGCAGGCTCACAGAAGCACGCGGGCATGCGGGTGTCTGAAACCCACCAGCTGAAGGATGGAAGCCACGTCACCGCCTCCGATCCCCACTTTGGAAAATCAGCCAAAGACATGCCGAGGTGGGTTCAGCTTCGTAAAGTGGCTGCAAGAACTTCTCAACATGTTTACCACCATCAGCTCCATAAGACTTCTGTTCTCCTTAAATGTGGCTAAATGTTGAACATGAATAAATATTTCACGTTTTAGAAAATGTTTTCAAAGAAAAATGAATTTAACACAACAAGGATACACCACTCAAACACAATACCCTGTTCATACTAACAGTTTTATTTTAGTTATAAAAAACCTTCATAATTTAACTAAAGAGACCTCAAATGCAGCCTAAATGTTTGTTCTGATGAAGCTGCTGATGAAGATGAAGACAGTTGAAAATGTTTCATGAAATGTTTTCAACTAAATGTTTGATGCAAAATGAATTTGAAAAGATGACATTTACTGAAAACAGGAAAATAAAAACAGAAGGCAGCAGAAAAAAAACAGAATAAATGTGTTTAAAAAGCAGAAAAGAGACGAAATGTAGAAGAAAATAGAAAAAGGTGAAATAAGGGGCTGAATATACAAAAAGTCTGACATTAGCAAAAAATAAATTGAAATTAACAAAAACATGTGTGGAGGGGGGGTGCAAAAGCTTAAATAAAGCTGAAAGTAGCATCAAGTATAAAATGCTGAAATTATTAAAAAAATAAGCAGAAAAGGTGGGACATTAGAAAAAAAAACAGCAAGAAAAAATAAAATTAGCAGAAAAACATCTAAAAAGTTGCTGAAAAATCCGACTTTAGCAGAAAGAAGCTGAAATAAAGAACATAAAAAAGGTAAAATTAGCAAAATAAAATGGCTGAAAAAAGCAACAAAAAAAAGCTGAAATAAGCACAAAGAAGCTGGAGACAGCTGAACCAGAACAAAAGCTGAAATGAGCAGTAAAAAGTTTTATAAGGTTTGAAGGACGTGAATTCATTTTGAATAAGAAAAATATGGACGATAAAGCTAAATATTGCAAAAAGTTAAAATTTCATAAAAATCAGAAGTCACAGCAGGAATGTTCGGAATGAGCCGAACGTTTTGATGTATGAAATGTTGAAATAAAACCTGAGGAACGAGTTACGTGCAGAAAACATATCGAAGAAAAACGAATCTCTGTAATAAGAATGATTTATAAACAAACAATTATATTTATATACAGTCTTATTAAATTCGTCCAAGCCGTCTTCAGGTTTTGTCAATAATAAAACTGTTTTATGATTTTAAAACAGTCAGATCAGTAAAATATTCTACAAACTTTGAACAACTTTCTTTGCTTTGAGCGTTTTTTTGGGCTTCACTGGATTTTTCTTTCCAAAATGTGTTTTTCTGAATAAAATAACTTTTTAACAAACTGGACAAACCTTTGACAATCCCATAAACTTATTTGCTTATGCTCTTTAGTTTAGTGCTTAAAAAGATTTGTGTAAAAATTAATTTCTAAACAATTTATGGATGTTTCCTCTGTTTATTCTGAAATGTCCCATGTTGTGAAGTTTTATTTATTTTTATTTTTTTCTGTCATTAATTTAGCTGAATTAATTTTAATCACTTTTTTAGAAGTATTTTTCCAGAAAATTGTCTCAGTGTATAAAATATATTTTGTTCTTTTAATCTTAGTGATGGTCTGAGGTCACGGTAGCTCAGTGGTCATAGCTGTGGCCTCATAATTCCGAGGCTCCAGATTCAAGCCCACGATGTGTTAGGAAAGAAACTTGGCACAAACAAGTTTTTTATGCAACTTTGTTCACTGTTTAAACCCATGAAGAAGAAAACTGCATAAAAAAATAAAAACTTGATGTTATGACAGAAAAACATCCAAACATTTTATAAAGGTAAACAGATTTATTTAATCAATAAGCTGGTATGAAAGTGATTGTGGGAGTAATCGAGTATTGACATTGCAAAGATAAATTCTGTGTGTGTGTGTGCATGCGTGCGTACACACACACACACACACACACACACACACACACACACACACACACATTAAGGTCAGTCTGAACATCCTCTTTAGTTTAAAGCGTCACACGTGAGGAACAGGCTGGAATCGTTACGTTACAACTTTGTTTACTTTCCGCTCACAGCCAGGATTACGCAGCAGGTTACGTAACATCATGTACATTGCAGATAATCCCGCCACCAAAGATCTGGTGGAGGGATTATCTGTTACGTCATGAGATTACCGAGGAAGTTTTAATTAAAACATGCAGCGTTGAACGTCTTTTTCCAGGTCTGTGCTGCTCCTCCTGAAGAACCCGACCTTCCTGTTCCTGTGTCTGGCGGGAGCCACCGAGGCCATGCTCGTGGCCGGCATGTCCACCTTCGGCCCAAAGTTCTTAGAATCCCAGTTCAGCCTCAGCGCATCAGATGCTGCCATGCTGTTTGGTGAGTGACTCAAATACAGGCGTAGCACGTGATGCAGGTCAGTGAAATTCTGACAGTTTAACATCAATCTGCTTTTTTATTGCTTGGAATATTTCATTGATCATGTTGAAGTGAACATCTTGATCCATTTTTTCTTACTTCAGCAGCCACTAAACCTGCTCTGTTTTATCATGTTCACTTTTGCATCCAACTCCCTCCGCGCACTTTGAGCTGTTTTAGCTCATCATATCAAAACGTTCAGCTCATTCAGGAGATGGGTGCTGACTTTTGGTTTTTGTAACTCATAGTTTACTACATTTAACTTTAATACATCTTTAATTCCAAAATGGTGGCCTCAAAAATACATTAATTCAAAAACATTTGTATTATTGCTGCTTTTAGCTAATATTCTCCCATATTTAGCTAGCGTTTAGCTAGGCCTGTCACGATAACAGATTTTTCTGGGCGATTAATTGTCTCAGAAATTATTGCGATAAACGATAATATTGTTTGAAATTTGACAATAATTAGTAATTATTTTCAAATTTAAGATGAAATGTTGGTTAATTTTTGTGTGTAGTAACTTTTTTGACCACCAGACTTCAGTATAAGACTGGTTGAACCAAAGGATGGATAGTGAGGGAGCGAGCAGCGTGTCTCTTTAAGAAAAATGGGAGGGAGGCCCCTTGACGTGACATGGGCTGTCTCTCCTTCCTTGTTTTCGGTTCTCAAAAAGGCGGATGCTCTGTGTGGTTTGAGCTCTTTAGCATTTGTCACACAAAGCTTTTAATTAAAAAAAAAAATCAGTAAACAAGTTCTCAGCTTCTTTTTGCAGAGAAAAACAAACTTTTTACACAAAGGTACTGGTTTCAACTGTGAATTTTGGAGCTTCGACAAGACCAAGTTTTTTTTCCCCGAGGTCGGCCTGTTAGCTTAGCTCGTAGCTTAGCTTCTCAGCTTAGCTGCTTTTAACGATCCAAAAACACCATTTTGGGCGGTTTAAACAGATTTTAAATCAAAGAGAAAGGGAGGGGTCAGTGAAGAACAATGGAGCTGAGCTTTCTGTCATCCAGTGTCTTCAGTAGAAAGAGAGAGACGCGGAGAAACGATAAAGTCGATAAATAAAAATGAGTTTGATAATTTTCATTTATCATGCGATGAATTGATTTATTGTTTATTGCGACAGGCTTACCTTTAGCTTTCAGTGTTCTAGATTTTATTTCAACTCAGTTTTAACTTTTTCAGCAACTTTCAGAAAGTCATTCAACAATAAGTGTTAACACTGCATTTTTACAGCAAAATGCTAAGTTTGGTAGATTATTGATATTTTATTATTATTAGTTTATGTTTTATTCTTATTGTATTATGCTATTATTTGGATATACAGCCTGCATAGGTTAGTTTGATCCCCACATTCCCAGATATTTTTGTACACTTTTGTAGAGTTATTGGATAAAAATTTAAGATAAAAACGACAGAAATTAAAAAACAAACAAAAAAAAAAAAACACGTGAGTAAACAAAGGGAACTTCATCCCTCCAGAGCTTCTGGTGAAGATAAAAGTGAAATGGACTGAACTATGACAGAGTCTAAATCAGATCTTCTAGGCTGAGTTACATCTTGACTTTATTCTGCCTCCTCCTCTGAAGGCTACATGGTGGTTCCAGCTGGAGGCGGAGGAACGTTCCTGGGCGGCTACATCGTGAAGAAGCTGAACTTACGCTGCCGAGGCATCATTCGGTTCTGCATGGTGTGCGCCTTAGTCAGTCTGTTCTCCATCTTCGTCTTCCTGTTCCACTGCCCCAACATGCCCATGGCTGGTGTCACAGCTCAGTATCAGTCTGAGCTGATGGAGCAGCCACATCTGGACCAGCACAAACAGCTGTATGACAAGCCCAGCGCAGCACTTAGAAACAGGTGAGCGACGCTAGTGCTAACACTCGTGTGTCCAAGTGGTCTGACTCATAATGGAGTGCAGGTACTGGGTGATACTTATGTTGGATAAAATACCTTCTGTTCATCTGAATTACTGAAAGAAGCCACATTTGAGGACACGTTTAACCGTTTTTTATTTGCAAGGGCAGACGTTCACTCACAGGCTTACACAGATGCATCATGGGAGCTCGATCGTGAGAGTCTGCACCGGGCAGTGTGCGAGAATTTTTTATATATGATGCACACTTATCAGCGATCACAGCTCACAGACAGTCACTGATGACCTCGACCTCCCAGGTGTACATGCAGGATCAAATCAGCTCCTCTCTGAGAGAGAAAAGAACTCTCTGGACTCACCCACACATGGTCCAACATTAATTTAACATGAGTTTGTGATAAACATCCTTGACCTTGACTAAAACTACCCTGACAGTAAATACCCAGTAGGTGTTTTTTTTATTTTTAAATGCTAATGAGCTTGTACGGAAGCAGCTTGTTCTACGGTACTTTCAGTTTTTGCCTTAAAGGTTTCTGCATGTATAAAGTTAAACTCACTGACACGCACGACTAAACGTGACGTCTGGTGTTTGCACATCAGGACTCCACAGTTTTTCTACTCGTATTGCCCCCGGAGAAGCGTAGAGACAAAAAGACCAGCTCAGACAGCGAGCGTCGTCCATGCGCCATAACATTATGAGCAGAGAGCCGGCTCGTGCTCACAGCAGCAAAAAAATATAATCCATAAAACAATAATTCACAACTACAGAATTATTTAAAGAACCATTTAGTGATAAAAGCAAGTGATTAATTGTTGCCTCAAGACTTTTTGGCTTAAGGAAGGAAAACGAGTATTGGTGGGTTGGCAAACAGTAACTGTTTTTTTTTTGTTTTTTTTACAGACCTAAGATCCTCTATAAAAAACAAATAAATAAATAAAAACATAAAATAAACATCCTTTGTACCAAACTGTAATGAAGAATGAGGAAACATTTGATACAGCTGGTGTAAATGTGTATTTTGTAGCAACAAACTTACAAACCTATAACACATGGCTATTCAACCGGCGGCCCAGGGGCCAAGTCAGGCCCACGAGTGGGCCCAGTTCCACCCACCAGTGGGTTAATTTTTAAATAAATCTAGATTTTAAATTGTAAAACAAACTGGATGACAGGAACTGCTGGATGCCCGGCCCCTGAGCTCTTGGCTTTCAGTAACTGTGGCCCCCTGAGCAGTTTAGTTGAACAGCCCTGTTTCCATCTTTTCTTCCCAGATGCTTCTGTGGATGAGTATCTTAAAAATGGCTCTAACTCAGTTATTTTTTTTTACAAATATTGACACTTTCTGAAATGTAATGCAAGATTAATATTATATGTTGCCTGTGAGATGTTTGATGCGTTTTATTCAACCACTTTTGATAAAGACGGAGCTCTAATGCGCAGCTTTATTCCAGATTATCTTTCAGAGTTTTATTGCGCCGCCTTGTGACAAAAACATTTGCTGCAGTTTGTAGAAAAATGTTTCAATAATTCATCTTTTCTGTCCTTGTGTCCGTCATCCTTGTGTTTCTTCTCTCCGTTCCGGTTGTTTCTGTCTGCAGCTCTGTTCTGGACGAGGACCTGACGGTCGGCTGTAACGCAGCTTGCAGCTGTGCCAGAGAACTGTACAACCCGGTGTGCGGCGCCGACGGTGTGGCGTATTACTCCCCCTGCCACGCTGGCTGCACCTCCATCAACTCCACCGAGCTCTCTGGTAAACAGGTATGCTCTGTCTGACTGGAGGGAAATGTCTCCAACAATAACTAGTCTGAAGCAATTAAAGGAGACCAACGTGTTCAGGCGACATCTTTCCCGTCCTCCTTGTAGAGTCAAGAGGGATAACTGGAAATAAGCTCCGTCTGTCCATCCATACCTGCATGTCGTGAGGTGGACAACTTGGAAAAATAAGCAATATGCCAACTTCTTGTTTGGTGTGTTGCTGCATCTAGGAGTAGAACAGGTCACTATCAAAGATTGGGTTGCCATGTCAAAATCCAAGATGGCCACCACCATATATATATGTAAACTGGCTACCATTACCATACTATCATTTGAGGAAACTGGTTTCTACTCTAAATGGGGGGAGTGGTGGGGTGGCCCAAAGGTTAGAGAAGGTGAGCCTGTGTAGAGTTGCATTTGGGTCCCCCCCCCAAAAAACGGACCCGACCCAGCCCCAGCCTGTAGCCATCATTTCCGAACCGACCCAAACCAACAAATTAACAGTAATCACAGCTCCAAACCCGAAAAACCCAGACATTTTTAATTCAGCTTTGACTGCTTTTATAGTTATTAACGGTCGGCGGACGTGCGCAGCTGATTAAAAGGGGCAGACGATCGGAGCTGAGGGGGTGATGGTCCTTTCACGGCTGTCAAAGCGCATTAAATCCCTGCTTCTGCCTGCATTCTGCATTATTCAGACACGGACCCTGCTCTGATGTCTGCGAGGATATTTTGGGATCTCATCTGTTTGGGTCATCGGCCGCGTGCGTCCGCTGAGTGCAGCGGCTGAATGAACGTCCATTTGGGCTTTGGATGGATCGCTGGCAGTAGTCCATCTGAAGCTTAACTGAAAGAATTTAAGAATAAAAAGTTCAACTGGCCGGTCAGCGCACGGTCAAATGGCCACGTGCGGCTGATGATTGTATGGCAAGCCATGTTGCCATAATTGGATCATCTGCCACGCTAGTCCGCTGATGCAATCAAAAGCCCGACACCGACCCGGCCCACCCCTCCAGCACATAATTATGGCCCAGGCCGCCCCGAATTTGGGTCCGGCCGGGCCGAGCTTTGGGCCTGGGTTAGAAATGACAGCTCTAAACCTGTGATAGGAAGGTCGCCGGTTCAACACTGCATTCTAACAACATCAATTGTGGGAGGGAACAGTGAAAGACGCCTGCCTCCACCCTCTTCCCCAATCTGGGCCCTTGAGCAAGGCTCCCCTGGGCACCCGAGACAGCAGCTCTCTGCTCCACTCAGAGGGCTGTGGTAGCTCGGCGGTCTGTGGTTGCATCAGGAAGGACATCCGGCGTGAAAACAATTGATTGTCAAAAGTCTTTGTCCGAGTTAGTTCACCGTGGCGAACCCTGAAGAAGAAAGCGTCCGAAAGAAGAAAAAAAAAAGCTTTTAGTCTTTATTTTGCCTAAAAGTAGTTTCCTCAAGTGATTGGAGTGGTCAAACGTTAACCTGTAGTTGCCAAGGCCACCCCCTGGTTCCACCGTCCACTCGACAGGATCCATCGCTCTGCACTGCCTCTGATAAGCAAACCAATAAAAATTACCTCCGTTCGCCCACACAGTTTATCTCCTACCCACTTCAACATCTCACACCAAAAACATTAATGTTCTCTTATATTCGCTGTTCAATTCCAGTCCAGAAAAAAAACACTCATCTCAAAAACTACAAACATTCAGTACACAAATCCTTCAGCGACAGGGGACATCGACGCACCGCCTGTACTGATATTTCTTTCTACATTATTTAAAACCCGTCTTTACAGAAATAATGTCCTGCTGCTGAGATAGATATTTTTGGCTGTGCACAGAATTTATGCATATTTTACCTGACGTCCGTAAGCGTCTGTGCTTTAGGTGTATTCTGGGTGCAGCTGTGTGCTGGGCAACGTATCCTGGGGCGAGGAGGGCTTCGCTCAGGCAGGGAAGTGCAGCAGCTCATGTAGCCACATGCCGGTCTTCCTCTCCCTGTTCTTCGTCGTCATCCTCTTCACCTTCCTCAGCAGCATCCCTGCTCTCACCGCCACGCTCAGGTACAGCACGCGCTCACACTCACTTTGTGCACAGTTCAGGTGAATTACGTGGAAAACTTGGCAAATTAAAAAGAATAAAGCAGAAAACAGCTGTCAGGTGGTGTCTTTATGGTCAAATTAACAAGTTTAACCGTTAAAGTCCGAGTCAAGATTCAGAGTAACCGCCTGTAAATGTTGGGACTGTGGGATAAAGTCTGAGATGGTCCAACTCCGTCCTGTGCAGGTGTGTCCCGGACAGCCAGCGATCCTTCGGACTTGGTATTCAGTGGATCGTGGTGCGCTTACTTGGTAAGCCCCATTCTTTGTCTTTATGCCAACTTCGTATCACGGTGGGAAAATGGTTCCTGATCTCCCGCCTGTCCCGTTTTCCTTTCAGGCAGCATTCCAGGACCGATAGCGTTTGGCTCGGTGATCGACATCTCCTGCTTACTGTGGCAGGACCAGTGCGGCGAGCAGGGCTCCTGCTACATCTACCAGAACTCAGCCATGAGTCTGTACACGCTCATCGCTGGGATCATCTTCAAGGTAAAGCTGACCAACGAGATAACTCGTTTACTGCGGTATGAAAGGAGTGAGCCCAGACTGAATACTTTTATTAACAAATGCCCCCAGGGAGGAAAACGGCTCTTCTGAAACGAATGAAATGGATTAAAAATTGGACTCACTTTATGCTTTAGTTTGTAAGAGTAGACTAAAACAACGGCGTCCAAACTTTTTCATTTGCGGGCCGAACATTAAAATGTCAAAATGGATGTAGTCACCACGAACATTTGAATTTGTTATAAAAGTATACTGATATTGTTGAAGGATTTCTAAATTGTTATAGAGCCAAAACATAAAAAGCCAACATTAACTTTATTTTTTATTTTTTTCCAAATGATTCAACCAGTTGATTTGTTGCCATTTTGTTTTCTTGTTCTTGTAAATTACATTTTGGTGACAGTTCTTGCTCCATTCGCCCTCTGTTAAAATGTCTTGATGTCATCAAGGCATGGAGGGCTTCAAATGTGTTAAAGTTTTAACGATCAGAAGACTGAAGTCCTTGTGTTTAGCCCTAGCTCTACCGCTGTCTCCGATCCTGTAAACCTCGTCTCCTGACGTCACCTCCTCTGCTGCAGGTTCTGGGGACAAGTTTCTTTCTGATAGCCAGCGTTCTGTACAAGCCTCCTCCAGAGTCTCCTCAAAGCAGCTGCGAGAGCACCGACCACGGGACCGAGCACATGAGCGACCTGCCCGTCAAAGACCTGCCCGAGGACGGCGTCATCATCAACCTGAACGCCAGGTTATGACGTCAGAGACCTCCTAACCGCGAGTCTTTTTGTTTGTGTTGAGAAAAACGCCCCAGAATGCCTTGATACACACAAACACACACACACAGACACAAAGCTGTCTGTCGCACTTTTAAAATGCTGCTCTTTCTGAAGAAAATCTTGAGCCGACTGCATGTTTGTGTGTCTGACTGGGCCAAGCCAATTTTTTATCACTTATTATGTTGAGACAAAAAAAAAATCAGTTTAAAAACCTTTCAGATTAAGGGCGTCAGTATTTCATGTTGCACCTTATCCTTCTAAAGCCAAGAGTCTGAGGCAGACCTCTGACGTACATGAATCATTTCAAATGTGACAAAACAGCTTTTTTTTTTTTTTTTTTACCAGAATTAACAGAAAGTTATTGTGTTTCCTCTCCCTGCACATAAAGCCATGGTTTAAAATGCTGGAAGAGTCTTAAAACCAGTAAAATCGTAGCCAAAAAGCTTCATTCCTTTGAGGAGGAAATGAAAAGACTCTTCCATCAGTTCAAGTGTTCAGACCCTTTCACGTTTTCCACCTTTTTCTCTACCGGTGCAAAAACGTAACCTAATCAAACCTCGTGGCTCCAAAGAAAAGATTCAGTCTCTAATGAGAGTTGTTTTTTTTCTGTTTTTGTTAGTAGCTTCACATCTTCTTGAAAACAAGTCTCCAAACGTTTGATGCCGTCCGTTTGTGCTGTGAAGTCAAAATTTTCAAGTTTCAAATAAAAAAAAAACGTTCACTGGAACGCTCACCACGTCTGGACGTCAAAATCCAACATGGCCGCCCCAGAGAGGGCTGCAGTAATTCACTTTTTATTTTTTACTTCCGTAAGTTGTTATCTCAGTAAATCAGTCATACTCTCTCCATTAGTGAACACGTTCCTGTTTTCTAAAAAAGTTAAGTCAGGTCCTCTGGACGGATTCTTCCAGGGCGCTAACGGTCGGTCATTAGACTGATGGTCCTCCTTCTACATGTGAACAGCTAGTTCAGGATGTCACCAACAAACTGGTTGGTCCACCATGAGAAGGTGTTATTTATAAGACTAAGTTTAGTGCAGCTCCTCGGACTGAAGAAGTCCATCCATCCATTATCTTTTACCCGCTTCTTTCATTTTTGGGTCACGGGAGTCGCCGGTGCCCATGTCCTGCTATCACTGTGCAAGGGGCGGGGTGCACCCTGGACAGGTCGCAAGTCCATCACAGGGGGACTGAAGAAGTCTTTTGGATAAAAGATGAAACATAAAAAAAGTAAACGAGAAGAACCCGTCCAGAGGACCTAATAACATTTTTAGATGTTTCTACCTGGATTATTGAGCGTGCACCAGGATGTGTTCCTGTTGTGGTTGGATGAATAAAAGCAGAGAAGTACGTTGTTGTCAGCTTGTATTGCTAATAACAGCAGTCCCTCGTTTATCGTGGGGGATCCGTACCCTGAAGCCCCGCCACAAGTGAAAAACCGTGAAGTAGGGATAGTATTAGTTTACGATATCTATCTATCTATCTATCTATCTATCTATCTATCTATCTATCTAT